TTAAGGGTTTATTAGTTGCCACTCTGCCGAGAAGCCATCTATGCTTTAAGATATAGATATATAGATCTATGATCTATATATCTATATCTTAAAACAATCTATGCTAGAAATCTCATAATGTAACAAATCGTGAATAATACAATTTCCAAAACATTTCAATAGAATACTCTAGAACTATTTTGCTTAGTCAGCATACTTTTTGAACCAATAGAATTAGTTTGTTCATTAATTTGGCGGGTTTTTAGAGTTCGCGAATATTCTTTTTATTCTTCCGCACCAAGATGTTTTGAGAACATTCAAGTTTTTTATGTCTCCATGTATGTCCGTAAAACCAAAATTTTTTGCTTCGTACATAAACTTAAATGTTCTCAAAACAACTAAAAAACCTGGCCAGTTTTTTGCACCTAAATATAATTTAGTATTCGAAAGTCAGTATTCGAAAGTGATCAATCCCACTTCCCGACCAAGCCTATATATATATATATATATATATATATATATATATATATATATATATATATATATATATATATATATATATATATATATATATATATATATATATATATATATATATATATATATATATATATATATATATATATATATATATATATATATATATATATATATATTTTCTGTCTGGTACCATGAACAATGTGCAAACTGCAATTCCCCAAATTAACTATACCACAATATTCTTTTTCCTGTCTATGTTTATCTAACATTTTCAAAACCTCCCAATTAACATTAGGAGGTTTTGAAAATGACCATCCAATGATACTTAAATTAGTTTTCCAAGATCAAACACCACTGTTGCTTCAATGAGTTTGTCAAAAAATTTTGTGAAATAGGGCATCTGAGGAATTTTGAGTCAACATATCTAACTTTTACAACTTAAATTAAATTACAGTAACTAAATCAATTTATTCATTTTTTGAAGCTAATATATATACTCTTATCATATGACAAAACAAAGATTGTTGATGCTCTGACATCAGAGAAAAGCTGGTCCCGATAGTATGGTGCTAATCCAAAATTAATAAGGCAGCAACATTTTGTTTTGCTTAATGCAAACTTTGATGCTATTGTGCTGTCAGAGAATTTAAATTTGAATATTTAATTTAAATTTAAGCACGATCTTAAAGAAAAATGTGACTACTAAATTTAAGCTCCATATATTATTTCTGCCTTTGTAACCAGAGCCGGAGATTGAAGATCTTCAGAAGTAGGCTATGCTGATTTATAGTTTATATATTTTTTTAATTTAGGAGAACTTTTATGTAAGTTACTGATAGAACACAGCCAATTAATTTGCTACAAGCTTTCCAAAATTCATGAAAACATACATTTAAAAAAAAGTAAAATAACTTAAATTAAAATTAAAAACTAATAAACTACCAGTAAAGAATATATCTGCTGCATTATGTGTCTTTTCATTAAATTTATTCTTCTTACCAGTTAGATGAGAATCCAAGGCGGATTCCCATGTTAGAAATATCAATATCTTTTCTCCACAAACTATAGCTTGCTTTTTTAGAATTTGAAATACAAAATTTTATCTAAGAATATTTTTTGTTGTATAGCCATTCTGTTTGAAAATGACAGTTCTTTGTCTTAAACATTACATTAGTTATACATTATATTATTAAAATAATTATGTTAATAATACTGTCAGTAACAGTTAAGAAAAATATTTTTGCATTTCAGAAAATACATAATAAATTCAGTAGAAATTACACAATATTAATGATATTTCTGTAGGTAAGGTAAAAACATGATAACAAAATATTGAACTATTTCAGAAAAAACTTTATGGATTTATTGCTAAAAAGAGTGTTTTTCTATATATTATCAGGTTTTCAAGATTTTCAAGGACCGCTGGCCACCTTGTTCCTAAACATTTTGTTTTTTTTACTCAATTAAATTTTAAATAAATGGCTGCATCAAATATTTGCACAAACGTAAGTTAAACCTTTTTTTTTATAATGCAAGTTAAACTGCAGGGATTATTTTTTATGAAACGATATATACAGCAATATAATTTTAATAAATGTTTGGAAAAATAATCTTTGCTTTTCACAACAAAATAGTTGATAAAATAATAAAATTTTAATAAATAAAGTAAATAAATTAATGTTATTTTTTTATTTGCTACTCTCTAATTTTTTTTTTAACAAAAAATCATTAGTAGTTGCAAAACCCCAATTAAAAATTTCAAAAATAATCATTAAAAAATAATAATAAAAAAGCTGTTAAATAATATTTAACTCGTTTTGCGGTAATTTATATTATTGCAGTAATTTAAAAAAGTTAATGTCTTTAAAAAATAAAAAAATAAAAAGAATTTTATGACGTCAAATTCACATTGAGCTATTGTGTTAAGGATTTCTAATTTAAAACAAGGCCTGATATATATAACCTATTTTATTAACTTGATTCTTGTTTTATTTAAATCTATTATGTTGTTTTTATTTGTTTCTTACAATTTTATTTATTGAAAGTTTTAAACTGCATAGTATTTATATTTACATTTATTTTTTTGTTTTCTATTTTTCCATTTAAGTTAAAATTGAAATATTTACTGTATAAGACATCCTATACTCTTTAATTATATAAAACTTAAGTAAAAATTAAAATGCTATTATTAGAGGTAACACTTTTGATGAAAAAGTTTGTAGCTCAAAACTGGATAGCAATTCTTTTTGCATCACAATATTCTTAAACTTTTAGAAATCCTTACATAAGTGATTACTGCAAATAAAATTACATTGTGAACTTATTGTATTTTTTACCTAGGTTTACCTATAGTTTTTCATTGCCCTGTAGGACAATATTTTATCTATGTCACATATCTTAAAAAAAAGGTAAAAAATAAATTTGGCATTCCGGCCTGAAATATTGTATTTCCGGCCCAAATGGGAATGACCAAGTCACAAATTCTGGTCAGAACAGAATTCCAGTACTCCCTAGTTTTTTGTGACATTTTTATTGAGTCTTTTATAGCTGACTGTGGTTAGATAGTAAATAAAAAAAACAGTTACCTGATTCTTTACCAACACCTATTTGGTTTCCAACTGAGTAGACAACATCTCGAGTAGCTAATGCTTTTAAAGCAAGATAATCATACCCTGGGTAACTTAATCGATAACCAGTACCTATTGAAAAAAATTTAAAAAATTATTGCAACCTCCATAAAATGTTTTAGATGGAAATCAAGACCAGATTTAGATGATCCATAGTTAAAAATATTTACATACTACATTGGTGCTGTAATTAAAAAAAAACTTGAATATTTAAAAAGTTATGGATTTTATATCATTTTCAGTAAAGGAAGCACAAACTCAGCAGAATCTGCTATAGTATATAGTATTGAAAAAATGTATGTTGAACAAAATTGCAAGAGTTGCATTATCAATATTTATTAGGTTAAATCTTGATTTTGGAATTCCCAAGAAAAATTTCCAGCCGACCGTATATATATTATATAGACCAACCATATATATATATATATATATATATATATATATATATATATATATATATATATATATATATATATATATATATATATATATATATATATATATATATATATATATATATATATATATATATATATATATATATATATATATATATATATATATATTTTCTGTCTGGTACCATGAACAATGTGCAAACTGCAATTCCCCAAATTAACTATACCTCAATATTCTTTTTCCTGTCTATGTTTATCTAACATATATATATATATATATATATATATATATATATATATATATATATATATATATATATATATATATATATATATATATATATATATATATGTATATGTATATATATATATATATATATATATATATATATATATATATTCATATAGACTGACCATATATTAAATTAGCAATCCTAAATCTAGGAGCTAGGTTCACCTTGGCTGGAAGTTGTACAGAATTTTAACCATAAACATTAACTAGCTTTAAAAGATGCAACTGAAAATTTAAAAACCTTTAAAACTGATGAACTACTTTTACAACTCTACTGCTTGTAACAACACTTGTATAAAAAGTCAAATTGCTACTGTGAATTTAGCATTTTGACTTTAAATACACAAGCTTTTATTGCTTATGCAAAAGCTTTCCATAGACAAGAAAAGCTTGTGGAACTTGGAGGATCAGTTACAAACAATAAAAACTGTTTTAAAAAGCTATAGTGTATTTATTACACAATAAATTATAAGCTACAAAACTAAGGAAAGTCAAGTAAAAGGGCTTTTTAAAGAAATTGAACATCAACTCTATTTATCTATTGAATTATAGCAATGTTGTTGACATTTACCCAATTTATCTTGATGTCTATGATATGGACCCTTTATTCAAGAATTTACATGAACGGTTGGCTGGAAATTTTTCTTGAGAATTCTACAGACTCCATTGATGACATAAATGTAATGACCCATAATAAAAAACTGTCTAAAAATATAGATACCATTGATTCAAAATATCATTTTATCAAAATATCAAAATGGTATACTTTTATAATTTGCTTTATTTAATCACCATGTTTGAGCAAAACAAACTAATTACTGCAAATATTAATTGAAGCATGAAAGAATTTAAACAATGGTGATTTTTGAAGAAATCTCTTCAAAAATCACCATTGTTTGTGTATTTAATAGTTTCATTTATATTTTTGAATATTAAATTTGAACAATGTATTTTAGTAACAAAGCTAAAAGAAATAGAATTAATGTTTTCCTTTTGCATTAAAAATAACTAAGAAGCTGTCTAAAGCAAAATCATTTGTAACCTTTACTTCAGATAAGTGAAAAGGGTGCTGAGGGTGAAAATTTTGAAGCAAATACTACTATAAACAAATGATACAGAAATAAAATAAAATAATTAGGAAAAAAGAAAAAAGGGACCCAGGAAATCAGACATTTATCTAGCAACAGAAAATACATATATTAATTGAGGTTTGGATTTGAACTCATAAAATTACAAAACCAATAAAAAAACTTAATGAATATTCAATACCTTGTCTACCATTTTCATAACAAAGCAGTTTGTTCTTGACAAGTTCTTTTAGTATTTTATGACAGCCACCATGTTTCAAGCTGGCTATTTGTGAAACTAATGACAAAGGTACAATTTCATGATTCTTCATTCCCATTTCAACCTGTGTAAAATCATTAAGTGCAATAATAACAGTTTTTTAATTTAATTTTATATATTTAATAATACATATATTTAATAAATTTTTGTTTAGCATTTGGTAATGTATACGTGTTTAATGTTAAAAAGTAGTCAAACACAATTTCTTCTTAAGTCTAATTTGCTCTATAAATAATGCTTTTTATTATTGATGACATGTTATAATTATTTAATTTGTAAAATATTCTTTTAACTTTGATTTTTTGTTAAATAAAAACTTAACGACATAAGGGAATTTTTATATTTTCATATGACAAGGGAATTTTTATATTTGTATATGACATGAGGGAATTTTTATACTTATATATGACATAGGAATATTAAAACTGTGTTACAATGAGATGAAAGCATTATTAAAATAAAAGTAAATAAAAATGAAAAATTGAAACTGAGGTAAAGAAAGTATAAAAAAGAAATGAACATGTTGCTTTTTTAATACTAACTATTTTGTTGCACTTTTCATTTAAGTAATAAACACTTCTTCATTTTTATTTAAGTGCCCCTTAAACATATAGTCTTTTTATTTGATAAAAACCTTTTTTTTTTTTTGAGAAAAAACTATGATAAAAAAGAATAAAAAAATTAAGCAAAAGTAAAAATATTGAATATTGAGTGAAATTAAAAATGATGGCTAAAAAAAAAGGAAATTCATATTCAAACCAGATAAAGATTAGCATTAATTATAATTCTCATTATAGAGGCTGGTGTCAATAAATTATCATGCTAGATTAGAGTGACCACTGGTTAACCTTCTTTTTACTCATTACATTTAAAATAATGTATTAAAACAATTGCATTTTAAAGTTAAAAAAACAATTATTGAACTACAATTGTAAAACTAGAAACAACTTACTGCAGTAAGTACTCTAAAGTCTTCCCTCGACATGTATTTTAAAAGTATAGCATCCAACTTAACCATTTTAATAGAAAGTAGATAATACTAAAAAATAAAACAAAATTAAATCATGAAAAAAATCTAATTTAATCAGTGTATTGGTAACTGACACATATTTGCAACAATTTCTGTTGAGTGGTTATGTTCTATATACAGATTTAATGCATTAAATATATGCTAATATATGTTAATATATGCTATACAATTCATGTTATCAAGATTCGTCTTCTGGTAAATAATACTGATTTTCGATTACCCAGTGAAACATTAACGTTTCACAAATGTGTTGTAAGTGTTCTATCAAAGTCTAGTAACACATTACCTTTAACACAAATAGTTAGATTTTATATTGAATTTTTTTAAAAAATTTCATTTTAAATAACTACAAAAAAAAAAAAAAAAAGGGTGCTATGGACTTATGTGCTACATGAAAAATTCATATTTATTTAACTATAAATGTAAAAAAACTAAATGTGATATAGAGCAACAAAAGATTGTGTAATGTTTTTTTTAAAAATAAAAACAACAAACTCATTTCTATCCAAATATAATGAAACCTATAAAAATATAAACAGTATTTATTTTGAAATAAAAAACAAAATTGAAAAAGATAGAAAAAAAAATCTGTTTTTTTTTTACCAATTTAAATAGAACCAAAAATACAAAATATATATTACTCATTTTATTCAAAAATTATTGACCATAGAGAGTAACGCTAACTAAAAATTCAATTTAAATTTATTTATATAGACACAAAAAAAATAAGTTAAAAAGAGATTTATTGAAGAGCGTTCTTTATTGAAGAGCGTTCTTTATTGAAGAGCGTTCTTTATTTCTTTTACAAGTAACGATCCTATGCTAATCTTTTCCAAGTTCACAATTATTTGACTATTATTTCCATCATTTTTAATAGAAAGAAGAACAGGTAATCCTGAAGAAATTAAGTTGGCTGAAAATCTAAAAAAATAGAAGAAGAAAGAGATTATCTTAACTATTATTTTTATCATTAATCTATCTAATCAAAACTTAAGTTGGTTATCTTTTTATTACTAGTAGGGTTACCAAAACAACACCTGAAATTTCATACCTTAGAACATTCTCATTAACAGTTGGGGATTGTGTCATGCTAACCGCTTCTATAATTTTAGATACTAAAACTGGAAGTGATTCTGTTAAATGACACGCAAGTTTACTCTCAGTCATACCGGTCAATTTCTTTTGTTGTGTTGTAAATTCATGTTGAGTAAGTGAAACTCCTCTCATCAATTCTCCAACAGGAACCTTTATTTGAACTGTAAACTTTCCAGATTCTGTGCTGTTAAAAAATAAGTAAATAAACAAGTAAACTTTATTAAGTGTGTGTGTATATATATATATATATATATATATATATATATATATATATATATATATATATATATATATATATATATATATATATATATATATATATATATATATATATATTTCAACTAAATGTATATTAATACTAAGGGATAAATATATAAATAAACATAAAATAAACAGTTTTTAAACTTTTTAAATGTTTTCTATTATGTTACTTTTACTATTTTTATATATTATTTAGTGTTTTACATATATATATATATATACATATATATATATATATATATATATATATATATATATATATATATATATATATATATATATATATATATATATATATATATATATATATATATATATATATATATATATATATATATATATATATATATATATATATATATACACACACATATATATATATATATATATATATATATATATATATATATATATATATATATATATATATATATATGTAAAACATTAAAAACATTCAAAAGTAGATGATACAAAACATTTAAAAAGTTTAAAAACCATTTATTTTATATGTATTTATATATTTATCTTTTAGTAATAATATACAGAGTTAAAACCACAACACCCTTGTGTTTAAGCACAGTGTGTAACAAGTTTTTATCTTAAGACCCCATTTAGCAAGTTTTCTTGAAATATGAAATAACATAAAAAATATCAGAAACTATAGAAATTACCAAGAACTATAGAAAATATACTAACATTAATAATTAAATTGACAAAACATATAAACAACAATAGTTATAAAAATAAATTTTATAACTATAAAAAAAATTTAGCACTCGGAATGATAAAAAATTTTTTTAAAAGTTATACTTAAATCCAGAAAATAAAAAAAAACTAACCATAAATCAAATGTTACAGGTTGAACAGTATCTTTAAAGTCAATACCAACAGTAACTGTTATACTTTCTTTTGGAGAGATGCTTGCTAAATTAAAAAAATGTATAAAAAATAAATTTAGTTGTTTTAAGTTAATTATTATTTTAAAAATAGATAAAAATAACAGAAATACCATGAAAAGCATTGATACAGTAAAATTAAATAATTAAAACTATTAAAGAAAGTTAACAAAGTTTAACAGCAAAATTTTTTTATCATACACTTGCAGAATCAAATCTTTAATTCTATTCTGTGTGTGTTTAATGATGGTATTTATGGTTGCAACAATGAGACAATAAAATGAAAGCTAGATTAATAATTATTTATGAAAAGTAGAGACACATCAGAGTAGGTGGACAACTTTACCAGATGGTATTTTTTATTCATCTAATATAAACTATTAAACTGTTTTATTTAGACTCTTCCGAAAAATGTAACTGCAGCCGCACACTTGGATATAACTGCAGCCGCAACTGCAACTGCAATACTATGGCTAACTAAAATCTTTTTAATGCAAAATTCTTACAAAAAAATTTTTTTTTTTTTTAAATCTCATAAATCTCACTTCAAAAAAATTTTCAAAGTTCAAATTTGGCCGATTTGCCAGATACCAGCAGCAATAACAACAGTGTACTAGCAGCAATAACAACATTGTACATTTTATAGAAAATAAATCAAATTATTAAAATAAAATCCTTAATTAAACAAACTAATTTTTACCAACTTCATTGAACTCCTGCATCAGAGCACCAGACAACAACTTCTAAAATTATAAAATGAAAACAATAAACTAAAAAATTATAATGTGGTTTTAAAATGAAAAATATAAAATTTGTTTGTTATATGTGCATGTCATCATGCATATATATTTGTTATATAATATGTCATCAAAAATAATACATTTGCTCTATTTTTACTGTAGTATTTCCAAAAAAAATTTTTCAAAATATATTAGATGTAGGTGTAGTAAAAACATAGGTGTAAGCGTAGTTCTTTAACCATGGTTAAGGAGCAACACCTACACCTATGATGATAATGATGCTGATAGTTTTGGTGATGGTGATGATGATGATGGTAATAATGATGATAATGATGATGGTGATGATGATAATAATGATATCTTAGAACTTATTACCTTATTCTCAATTCTTAGTCTCTTAACATCAGCATTGCTTGAATTTGTAAATTCCATCTCAACTGCAACCATTGTACCTGAGTATATACAAGGTGTTCGAGGGAATCTATAATATGCGATCAATCCTTTTCCATTAATTTTACTGAGTAATTCAAAAGATTTTGAGTTTTTCTGCTAAATATAAAAAATTATAAGAAAAAAAAAAAGTAACCTAAAGTAATAATAAAAAAAAAAAAAAAAAAAAAATGAAGGTCATTATGAGATTATGTTCATTATATTACACTATGTAACGCAATTTTTTTCCGTAGATTCAAAGTGTTAATCATTAATTTCTTATGTCTAAAGACTGAAAAAACATCTACAATAAGTACAAACTTTAATTTTATAATCACAACACAAAGAAAACTTGTTCATAACCACTTAACAGCAAACAAAATTTATATAGTTTTTTTAAAATAACTCTGATGAACATTTTCAAAACTTTCAGATTAATATTCTGCATCCTATTTTGATGTAACTCTATATTTTGATGTAACTCTATATTTTGATGTAACTCTATATTTTGATGTAACTCTATATTTTGATGTAACTCTATATTTTGATGTAACTCTATATTTTGATGTAACTCTATATTTTGATGGAACTCTATATTTTGATGTAACTCTATATTTTGATGTAACTCTATATTTTGATGTAACTCTATATTTTGATGTAACTCTATATTTTGATGGAACTCTATATTTTGATGTAACTCTATATTTTGATGGAACTCTATATTTTGATGTAACTCTATATTTTGATGTAACTCTATATAAGAATTTGAACCAACTCAACATTTTTTTTAACTTTGTAATTACCCAGGGCCATAAACATAAACTGTTCAAAACTCTCGCATTCTATGATCTTCTTGATATGTAGTTTATACCTGCTCTAGCCTTAGCCTCAGACAGCTTTGGAAAAAGATCTTGGAGGTACTTAGAAGGTTTTGACTCTTAGTCAAGAACAATTAAAAACTGATAATTCTTAGTCAAGAGTAATTAAAAACTGAAAAAGTTGATAAATTGTAACTCTAATAACCTCCAATCCATAGTCATTATACTTCAAGGCACTCAGTTACATCTTAATAGTGGTGTAGTCCTTTTTGAGATGCACAGTGAGCCATTAGAGTAAGTTGTTTCTGTTTTTAAGTAAATCAAGTTGCTTCTGTTGTTAAGCAAATCAGGGAGAAAAAGATCTGGGATGAACTGGCAATAAATAGGCACCATTTACTTAGGTTAAATGTGATACAAATTGCCTAAAAAAAACCGACAACATTGTTGCAGAAGCACAACCCATCTTTCCAAATAAAAAAGTTGGAAAATGTTTAGTGATGCTTTTTTTGATCTGTGACACTTTATCTAATGAGTGATTTATATCTGATAAATTCCATTGTTTGAGCCTGTATATCAGAAGCTCAGCCTATGACTTGTTAAAACCGTTACTGTTTAAATTTCAGACTTGTTAAAGGGATCCCTAAGTGCTCCTAACATATGATCTCATATGAAAGAGCATAAAAAAAAAATATGTAAGTTTTTTTTCTTTTTCACTAAATTGTAATAATAAATGCATGCTAACAAAAAGCAATTGCCGAAATCACTGAAAAACAACTCCATTTTGATTTTATTTTTTCACCATTGAAACTCGATTGTTAGTCGTTAAAAATCACGTTAGTACGTCACAACAACTTTAAAATAAAAAAAAGTCATGATTAAATAGTTAAGTTTTAATCAAGTTTTTTTAATTAGTTTTGCAAAAACAGTATAATATCATTCGGTTGAAAGACGTCGTTAAAAAAAGTTATTAAGTAATAGTTTTAAATAGTTTAGAACTTATAAAAAAGTCTTACAGGCCTTGTATTAAGCGTATCGCGATCGCGATTGCTTTTCACACTTTTGTGATTAGTTTTTTCTTAAAAAAAATCTTTTCGCAATTTTTTTTTTTTTTTTGGTTGTTTAATTACTTTTTTTCTAGCTTAGCATTTTTTTTAGCAATTCTTAAAAGCAATGTTTTTATCATAAAGAACGTCACACAAAATTTATTATTCTGAATAGATAGATGAATAGATGATTTTCTCTTTTTTACTAGGTCGTTAAAGCGAAAAGTTGAAAAGTTGGTTTATACCTTCGTTTATCAAAACTTCATGTTTAAAATAAGGCTTAAAAACGTTAGAGCAAAAAAATTAGTGACTTTTACTTGCATTTTTATACTGTTTGAAAAAAAAAAACTAATAAAAAAGAATTAATTGTTATTATTATTAATTCTAATAATTATTAATTAATATATTATTAGTTAATACTTTTTTATTAGTTTTTTTTTTCTTCAAACAGTATAAAAATGCTAATAAAAACCAGCAATTTTTTTTACTTTAATGTTTTCAAGCCTTATTTTAAACATGAAGTATAATTCGATTTATTTAACCAAATTTTTTTGTTTCATCTTTTATTGGAAAACTTGAAATAGAAAAAATGAAAAACTTAATTATATTTAAACTTTTATTAGTCCTTTATTCAAGAAACAATAAATTATAAAAAATGTGGTATCTAGTTTTTTATTAAGTTTTTGACGATGTTTTTTGATTTATTGACGATAATTTTTTTCCCCCATTACCGCACATCAGCGCGAGCTATAAGAGAGAGAGAGAGAGAGAGAGAGAGGAAGGGGGAGAGAGCAAAAAAAAAATTTGTTTTTCGCGATTAAATTTTTTTGCGTTAATTCGAGCCCTGTCTTAGTAAGCCCTGTCTTAGTTAAAACGAAGTTTTTGTCTTAGCTTAATTTCTAATAAAATGTATATTCAACCTTATCAATTTGAACCAAAAAAATATAGCAAAATTAACATAAATGTTAATTTAACTAAAACATTTTACAATAATTATTTTTTTTATCAAGCAAAAATGAGAGTAACCGTCACTTTTGAAACCATAAAGTGTTCTGTCAGCTCTCCCAAAATTCAACTCTCCTCAAACTTCATAGTTAAAATAAACTATATACATCTAAATCATTGAAACTATACAAAATAAAGCACAGTTAAGCAAGAAACAACTATTCTACTAACGTTCAAGAAATCTTTTGCAATATTTGCATGCTGTGCCCATGAATTGTCTAATCCTTGACATGCATGTCAAAGTATGCCGTGCTGACATCACATATTTAAAGATTTCCATTTTCTTAATAATTTGCCTACACATTTGCCTACACACAGCGATATGTATTTACTGAATGCAAACAACCTCATGATGCTATTCAAAGTAAACAATTCTTTTTCAAATATGATTCATTATTTCTTTATTCACTAACACAAACTAAAATGTTGGTTCAAATCGAGGAAGTATTGAAAAGTTCTAGAATATTCTAAAAAATTGTCAAACCATCTGGTTCATCAAATTATAGTAGTTCAGGAATATTCTAGAAGAATGCTCAGTATTTGATATAAAATGAATACTTTCTCAACAATGCACAAATTTTAAAATATCATTATCTTAAAAACAAAAGCAAAGTTTTTATGGAACAACAACTATTTTCTATTTGTTTTCCATTTGACAAATAAGAAAAGCACACTTTTAACCCAAGGAAACAACAAAAATAAAAATTTGTTACACAGTATTATAATAAAATTGACATACTGAAGATTGCAGGGACAAACTGTTACAATTTTTAGGATCTACAGAAAGACTCTCCATATCTGAAACCAACGATGGAACAAGATTGATATTAACATCATTTTTTGGAGAAACAGAAACTAAAAATAAAAATGTTAAGAATATATTCTAATATTAAAGAAAAATCTTTTTGGTTCATTTTTGTCATTAGTCTGTGTCTAAGCATTTTTGATTGCTAACAAAGCAAGTTTTATTTTGAGAGCAATTGGAGAACTAACTAAAAAGAACTTGAACTAATTAGCAATTTTAATTAGTTCTATTTACTTTATTTATTTTTTTGTTATGTTTTCAATTAGAAGAATAAAAGTGAATAAAATTTTTAGAAAAGTTGATTCCAATTGGAGTTATTTAATTATTCATTTTAAAGTTGAAATTGTTTTATTGAAATGAATTATTTATGTTGAACATAAAAAACTAAAATAAATGTTAAAATAAAATAAGAGAAAAATGTTAAAATAAAACAAGAACTTTATATGATGACATGTATGTATGTATGTATGTATGTATGTATGTATGTATGTATGTATGTATGTATGTATGTATGTATGTATGTATGTATGTATGTATGTGTGTATGTATGTATGTATGCATTTATGTATGTGTGTAAATGTATGTATGTATGTATGTATGTATGTATGTATGTATGTATGTATGTATGTATGTATGTATGTATGTATGTATGTATGTATGTATGTATGTATGTGTGAATGCATGTATGTAGGAATGAAAATATATATCTAAATACATACATACATACACACACATACATACATACACACATACATACATACATACATACATACATACATACATACATACATACATACATACATACATACATACATACATACATACATACATACATACATACATACACACTTTAATGTCATCATATAAAGTTCTTATTTAAAATTTATATTTATTATAAATTATCTCTGTAACAAGAGCATAAAAATAGTAATTACAAATTTTTGCAGATCAAACTTTTTGTGCATGTCTGTATGTGTAAAAATTAAATTATGATTTGATATAATTTTTGTTTTATTTAAATAAAATTAAATTCAGTTACTTTTTCCATATTTAATAAACAAAATTTTATTATAAAAAACATGTCCTAATTTTTCTTCAGCCTTTTGCTTTGTTTTTAAACCTTTTAAAGAGTTTTTACTTTTATGATTTTCATGATATAGAAAATTATGATTTTCCTATATATAAGATATATATAGGAAATTGTAGTCTGCATATTTTAATTATCAAGTTAAAAATGATTGATAATATGAAAATAATAATTTATATTTTTGATAAAGATTTAAGTTTATTTCAATATTTAAAAAAATATTTGTATTTTATGTTAATAAAAAATACAAAGACTTTTTCAATACAATACTGACAAAGTCAGTATCGCATTGAAAATTATCAGCTTACTGATAATTTTAAATAGCTGCATCTGCATTTTTAATTAAACAGCTGCATATCTGCAATAATTAAAATATAACTATTTTTGCTATTTACAGCATATTTATTGCTATAATAAACTAGTATTTTATTATTTATTTTATATAATATTTCAAGGTATTGATTACTTAATTATTTGTTTTACATTTTTATTACTGCTTTATTTATTATCAATTTATTATACAATTATATTTAATTCTAAAAAAAAAAAAAATTCTAAGTGCAGGTTTTTAATCAAAATAAATTCTTAATCAACTAAAGATATTTAACAAAATAAAGAGAAACAAATGATTGATTGACAACAAAATAAAGAGAAACAAATGATTGATCGACAACAAAATAAAAAGAAACAAATGATAGATCGACAACAAAATAAAAAGAAACAAATGATTGATCGACAACAAAATAAAGAGAAACAAGTGATTACACTTTATTTTGATTAAGTTCCAATACAATATAAATTTGAATGAGACAACAAGATTTAAATAAGTAATTAAAATAACAAACAAATTGACAATAATACTAATGAAATAATGAGACATTTTAGTATTACATCATGAGTCATCTTATTATTGTTTTATATAATGACAATATTAAAAATTTAATAAAAAAAGAAAATTTAATAAAAATAGAAAACAATATTACAGTCATTTAAGTCGAGAAGCATATCACTTGGATTTTGGACCTGAACCTTCTTTGTAGTTTCCGCTTTATGTTTAACTGGGGCCTTCATAGAAAAATAAAAATCAACTAATAATTGAAATACATTGATATATATATATATATATATATATATATATATATATATATATATATATATATATATATATATATATATATATATATATATATATATATATATATATATATATATATATATATATATATATATATATAAACATGATTTTAAATTTTCAGAAAAAATTTAAAATTAATTTTAAACAACTTTTGTATTTTAATATAGTTTTGTATTTAACTTGATTGTTTCATTATGTGTATCAAATAACTAAAAAGATCCTCTAATTTATAAGCTTCTCCTTAAACACACTGTGTTTATGATTTTCAGAAGTGTTTCATTATGTACAACTGACTATTGTTACTATTTTTTTTCTGAAACATTTATTTTTCAAGCCCATTTTACTCCTAACTTCTCCCATCAAATGATTTTGGAAAAATCCTTTATAAATTGTCATATTTATGGCCTGATAAAATCTTGTCCTTTTTACAATATAAATTAAAATTTGAATTTGTATTAAAAGTATAAAAGAGTCTGGAATATTTAAACTTTTCATATTTAAGTTTTTTAACCAAATCAATTTACTGTTGAACAGTGTATAAATTAAAAGATATTATAAAGAGTGATATCCGGGCTATTGTAAATGATACTGAAACTACAAAATTTGTCATTTGGCTTAACAAAAATTTATTTCTAATAAAAATTATCAACTTAAAAAATCATTTTAAAAATTTTACTTGAACAACTTCATCATCAGATTCTTCTTCGCTTTCCTCTTCAGAGGTTTCTTCTTCACTTTCTTCCTCAGAACTTTCATCTTCACTACTTTCTGGCAAAGATTTTTTAGGAGTAGGTATGACTTTTTCTTCTTCACTTTCAGATAACTCTTCAAACTCACTCTCTAAAATACATTTAATATATATATATATATATATATATATATATATATATATATATATATATATATATATATATATATATATATATATATATATATATATATATATATATATATATATATATAATTATAAATATATATATATATAATTATAAATAAAACTACATGTTTTTTACAACTATAAGTTTCATGCTAAACGCAATCACCAGGTAAAAACTGTGATGATTTTTTCTCATGGAAATATAATTATAAAACAATAAAAATATTGACTATAATAATTTTTAATTAAATTAATAATTTTATAGTATAAAATTCCAAAGAATTATTAAGCAAAAAAAGCGAATTAATATCTGAGTGTCGCCATGAGAAAAAACTTTTGCTGGATAACCATAAACCAAAAGATTTTTTTAACGCATTTTTCTCTTGTACAGAATTATTTTTCCATGAGAAAAAATCACATTTTTAACCTGATGATTGGATTTAGCATGAAACTTATAGCTATAAAAAACATGTTGTTTTTTTTATAAATTATGTGTAAATGCAGCTCTGTTTTAACTTAATTTATTTTAATTTACTTTAATTCATCGAGCACTCGCCTGAAGATATATGCAAGCACAAATACGTATACATATATATACATAAATTAGCAGGCTGAATTAACAGGCAGCAAGTTGTTGACATTGTGTATGGCATTTGGATGCTACCTGCATCATTTCAAACTGAAAGAAACCATCAGACAATCATTGGCAACTACCATCACAGAAACAACAAAGTTTTAGCATAAAGCAAGAATGAAGAAAGACCATTAATACTGCCTAACTAAATTTAAGCAGACATTTGTAGAACAACATCTTCTGAAGAACAAAATAATGCAAACATAACTGACTTGCTTGTTTCCAGATTTGAAAACCTTTTTGATGGTGTTTATGCTGATGCTCTGACTATGATGTCAGTATTATAAGAAGACAAGGATTTTGTTGCTAACCCGGCAAGAAAAAGCAAAAAGGTGATCGATGGTTAAAGTAGGTGAAATGCTTGCTGCTAAGGAGAAAAAGATTTCAGAAAAGGAGGACAAAATACTTTCTAGGCAAGCAGATCAAATGAAAAAGTATATATATAAGAACAGCTACTACTGTTTCATGTGGCTGCTGAAGGCATCACATTACAGACCAAAAAGAAAGAGGGGTTAAAAAATTGTTACTCCAGAACTCTCAGCAGCTCTAGATTGAACAAAACTGTCAGACCGCATAGTTAAAAGTTTTGTTTGACAATTGCAAGCTTCCATCCTGCATAGACAAGACTCAGACTGCTGCTGTGTTAATACATATAACAATAATATAGCTATTAAAGACTATTATATACCAACAGCATTCAGAGGTTCCACTTTTTAAACTCTTCCAGGAATACTGGGGCTCCATAAGCACAGCCAAGTATGAACCAGGGATACAACTGATGGCTTCCTTACATTGATTGTTTCTTACATTCTCTCTAATATTGCGGTTCCACTATACCTTTAAACTGTAATTTGTGTAAAAAAATAATTAGTCAAAGTTGCCGCTCATCTCAATGTAATTTTGTTTATTTTAGACTCATACAAAATGTGACAAGCTTAATGATACTAAGTACAGTTTACTACAATAAAGTCGCTTGTTGCGGAATTGTTTAAACTGTATTAAAAGTGTCTTTCCATTCACAGATGTACAAGATAATGAATTTAAATTGCTATTTTCTTCTGACATAATTCTTTAAACTGAAGATTTATCTCTGTTTAAAAACCTTTTCCCGTCTTTTCATTTAAGTAAAGTCTCTAATCAAGTTAATAATTATGTTTCATCTCGTGTTTTAGATTCTGAGAAAATAATTTCTTCTTCATTAGACATTTTGAAAATATTATGACATAGGCAAATTATGTACACTTAGTTTTAATAAAATAAGCACTCTCCTTTTTTCATCTAAACATATCATCGTTACAAAAACACTTTGAGGAGTTAAACTTATGTTTACTATTATTAATTAATTTTAATTTTACCATTATTGGTATAACTGAAACAAGGTTAAAAAAAGAACCATCCTCAATTCATTCGATTCTCATTGATAATTACAACATTGAGCATACACCAATGGAATCCTCTTGTGGCAGTACATTATTATATTTATCAAAAAAACTAATATACAAACAAAGAGATGATTTAATGATTTATACACCTAATTGTTTAGAATCCACATTTGTTGAAGTTATCGTTTCTAAAAAGTCTAATACTATTGTTGGTTGCATTTATAGACACCCTAGCATGGATATTAATATTTCTGATAATATCATGTCTGTCTTATTGCAAAAAATATCTGCTAAAAATAAATCTGTTTTCTTACTTGGTGATTATAATATTGATCTGATGCAATCAAATAATGACATTGCGACATTTGATTTTTTAAACTTATTTTCTTTTTATAATATTTGCACTTTTATTACTTAGCCGACTAGAATTAATGATCACTCTGCTACAATTATTGTTAATATTTTCTGTAGTTTAATAGCTAATGAAATTGTTTCAGAAAATTTGATAACTTCTGCTTCTGATCACTTACCTCACTTTTGTACTAGTCCCAATAAAATATTTATACCACACAGACACAATTTATATAGCAGGAATTTTAAAAACTTTAATAGAGAAAACTTTAAATCTGATTTATCAAAGATCGACTAGGACAATATTACAAAGTCCAATGATACTAACAGATGTTTCCAAATGTTTATTACTGAAACAACATTGATTGATTTTAGAGCGCTACGCCTTGCCTAAAAAAACAAGTATCATAAACTGTTTGCAAGAAAATGAAACATATATAAATGACCCGACTCTAATCTCTGAATCATTTAACACTTTTTTTTGCAAATATTGCTCATAAACTTAAATCCAATATTCATTCGTCTTACAATAACTATAAAAAGTATCTTAAACATCCGAATTTACATAGTTTATTATTATCTCCAACAAAAATGCCTGAAATTTCATCTCTTATATCTAAATTGAATCCAAAAAAATCAAACAGCATTCCCACAAATATTCTTATAGATTTTAACTATGAATTTTTAAATATTCTTTCTAAACTATTTAATACCTCATTTATAAATGGAACATTTCCTGATATTTTGAAATTATCTTAAAAATGGCTCTAAACTTTCATGCACTAACTATAGACCTATTTCTCTTTTATCTAACATTAGCTATTTTATAAAACAATTTTTGCAATCTCTACAAAGCATAGTTTTTACTGTGCTTTTTAAGAAACTTATGTATTCTAGAATGTACTCTTTTCTAAACTTATTTAATTGTTTAAATGATTTTCAATTTGGTTTTCAATCAAAACATTCTACTTGCCATGCATTAATAAGTATAACAGAAAAAATCAGGAAAGCTCTTGATACTGGTCATTTCATTTGTGGTGCTTTCATCGATTTACAAAAAGCTTTTGATACTGTTGACCATTGTATTTGATTTTTTAATTAAAACATTATGGAATTCGTGGTATTAATGGCTTCAATTCTAGTAACAAATCAGTTTCGTGTGGTGTTCCTCAAGGTTCTGTTCTAGGTCCTCTTTTGTTTTTAATCTAAGTTAACAACCTAATCAACTTCACTTTTCATCAGCTCATCTGTTTGCTGATGATACAAATCTCTTACACAACAAATCGTTTCATCCTTTATGTAAAAATGTTAATTTAGATCTTAAACGTATAGTTTAAGTATTTCTTTAAAAATGTTGAAATCAAAATCAAAATTAATACTTTAACGGCTATATACTTCAAGAGTTATTAAATATCTTGGTATATTAATTGATATCTTTCATGGAACTTTCATATTGATGAACTATGCAAGAAACTCTCGAGCTAACAGTTTGCTTTCAATAATTCGTCAAAATTAAAGTTACACTTAAGATTATCTACTATGCATTATTCTCATTTCATTTTAGCTATTGTTGTCAAGTTGGGGGTCAAGTTGGAAACTATCACATTAACAAGTTGCTATCGTCTCATCGCAAATCCAAAAAAGTAGTAATTTCTGAAAAACTTTTTATTCTAACTTTTAGACATTATTATCCTTACGATTAAAATATTATTTTAATTTTCTTTTTGTCATTACTACAATTATCATCAGTACATTTTGTTTATTTTTAAAAATTTTTTTATTATTAAAACCTGCAAATTATGATTTCTACATGTTTGTTTTGATGTATGTTCTATGTGCTTTGGTCTGTGTCCTTACGTGTGTCCATGCGTTTCAGTGAATGTCTTTGCTTATTATTACTTATATTTAAAAATTGGTGTCACTCCTTTGATCAGATTTCTGTATGAGTGACACCATCCTAATAAATCATTAACTTATTAGTATAAATAATTTTATGTTTATAACTACCATTATAATATTAGTTATTATTATTTTTTCATTGTAATTGTTTTAAACATCTTAATATATAATATATCTATATATTATTGCCGAACTTAATAGTTTTAATAGTAGTGTCCCTTGGAGCGTATTTGACACGAAATCCTTGGCAGCCATTGCAACCGAGGCATTGGCGAGAAAGAATCTCACCTTTGCTTTATAAGAAAGCGTGAGCAAACGTGAAACTTATATTGTACGTACGTAAACTTCATGTTATGTAATGTTAAAATATACTTAAATATATATTAAGTTTTACAGTTAGACTTTCATTTAAAAACTGCATTGCACCAACCTCTTCTTAATTTCTGATCTTTAGCATCTATATCCGTTAAAAACAATTTTTATATAGTTTTAAAATTTCAATGATCAACGTGCCAGAATGGCAGAGTGGTTAACGCGCTGAGCTTCTAAGCAAGAAGGCCATGGTTCGAATCCAACTAGCGGTGACTTTTTTTTTTAATTTAAATTTTTTTTAAAAATACTTGTAAAGTTTTATAAAGATTATATACAAACATATCTAACAATGTTATACACTTTAACAAACCAAAAGATTTTTAAA